AGGGAAAGAAAGCAAATTGTTGAGCGCTCTGTGGGAAAATCAGAAGCAGAAGTAGCTGGGCCAACAAATGGGGGTATGTTTTGAAAGGTCTAATATTACTAATTGACTTGAAAAACCAGACAGAAGGCACTGTTAGCCAAGCACCAAGGCTTACCTTCTCACACCTGATCCTTTCAGTTCCTCTGTGATGAGGGCAGCCCTACATCCATGTCTGCGCTATTGATGTATCCATGTTTAGTGAAGACAGGCTTGGACATGCACACCTGACACTGCTCCAGCTAATGCTGCTATGTCCATGTACATGGCAGAGGTCAGGGAGGTTGGAGGACTAGCTAGTGCAGTAAGTTTGGTGGTCCTGTCTGTTGGAGAGAAAAGCCATTTTAAACCTGATGACCAGAAGCATGGGGCATGGCTGCTGGAAGGTTGTGTGACTCCGGGTGGGTGAATGTGCCACAAGCTGGAATAGCAGAGGAGTTGGCTGCACATTGGCAGTTAATATCTGATGTAGACTCAGCAGGAGAGGGCATGCAGGTAAACAGACCAGCTGGGCTAGGCATGGGATAGCAGTGGGAGAACTGACAGGAGAGGAATTGTTAACATGGAATGGGGATGTATCCACCTGAACCTTATGTCTTGTTCTAAACGAGAGTTAATCTGCTTCCAAAGTGGATTCATTTATGTGGAAGGAGATGCCAGATAACAGACCCAAGGTAGATTATCTTCAAACAAGACAAAGGTAACTGGAAAGCTCTTTCCTACAAGATGTGAGAACAGCCCTGTTTGTGACTGGATTGAGATATGATACAGCCACACAAGTAGGATTCAGAGATTAGCAGGTTGTGCATGCATGTAAAACGTGTGTGGACACAAACCACACTTTGAGCTGGCTGAAAAATCAGTAAAATATAGCCTGGTCTGGACCAGAGTGCCCATCACCAGGACAGATCTGGCTGGGGTATTATGATCCCAGCACTCATTCCTGCCCAGGGCAGGGGGTCGGACTTGATGATCTGTTCAGGTCCTTTCCGACCCTAGAAACTATGAAACTAAGATTTAGTAGTGTAAAGGGCCTGGTTCCAATACAGGAGTCCTCCCATTCAGTTCAACATGCGTCTATCTCTGAAGGCATTGGGCCTCGTTCTCGGCTGTGCTGAGCCTCGGCTGCAGAAGCTAAGGGTGAGCTGCAACTCAGTCTGCCTTGTTCTGTGCCACAGATGTTCTTAATGGGATTAGTCCTTCTGTCCAAGCTGTGGAAGCATGTAATTTATCACCGGAGGCCACAGGCTCAATCTCTGCTAATGACCAAGGTGATAGGTGATGGGTGCTGAGCAGGATAAGTCCCTGGATAACTAGCTGATGCTGACACATCCTTCTGTCATTTAAAGTGCCTGACACAGCCAGATTCCCTAGCATCGCCTCTAATGATATTGCTGCCTCATTTAGTCATATGCCACTATTTCACCTCAGTGCAGATGCTCCTGAGGTCTTTTGCCAGGTTGGGGTTGGAAGAAGGGGCAAATCCATACCAATTTGAGTCTTTTATTAAAAAAAAGGCATATTACAATGACATCTAAAGTACAGGTTCATGTCGTCTCTGGGTATTAAGGAAATATATCTTGAAAAGCACTGGGTTAAAAAGCACAATTTATAACAATGTCATCATGGCCCCTATTTTCTCTGTAAATAAGAATGTCACATAGTATCACATTCAAATACACCAGGACAGTATCAAACCTTTGGCATCTGTCCTGTTTTACTGGTTTCCCATAGCAAGACCCACAGGCAGCTCAAACAACAGCTTTTATTGTTCTCTGCTTAACTGTGCAAATTTGACCAAGGATGATTTTTTTTTTTTTACTCATATGAAGCCCAGGATATGTCCTGATCCAGTGGAACTATGCCTAAATAGCATCTGACTGCTGCTTTGTTACCTCTAATGGTCCGTTCATTCTTTAGGTGGAAGACCAGGCTAGGACCCTCACAGGAGTGAATTCAGCACAGCTCTCCCAGCTCAGGATCTAACTCCATTCATCTTTCCCATTACCTTCAGTGTGGACTTCAATGGGAGCACTCTGGTGGACAAGGATTCCTCAGGTAAGTGTTGCATGATTCGTCTCAAAGGCTTGTAGCCACCAGTCTTTACTGCCTTAAAGTGTGAAAGTAAATAGGGAGCTTGACACTGTAAGGTTCTCTTTACCTCCTGGAAGGGGCTGGGCACCGCTAGTTGGGAGCTGAGGCTGAGCAGTTCATCACCACCCAGTAGAGAGCTCCACTAGTAGAGAGGGATTCTGTTTTGAAGCGCTTGCAGTTTCTGGGATTTCTGGGTCCTGGTGCTGTTTTGGTTTCATTCTCTTGGCAATTGCAGCAGAGGGAAAGTGCATCGTTTTTTGAAACATGACATCAGTAGCAGTTAAAGAAAAAAAAAGGAAGAGGAAGACCCTTCACCTGCACTTTATAGTGTTGGGAATGTTCCACAGGCCTCTTCCATATTGATTGTTCTGAACTTGTACATACCATTTTACTGTTCCACCCTTCACTAAGGGGTTATTAAAGTGTGTGTGTGTGTGTGTGTATGTGGGGGCAGGGTTGGACTACATATTCTGCAGTCTCTTTAAACCCCATGATACAGTGGACTTGATCAAGTCATCTGGGTTGCCAGAGTTCCAGATAAAATTTCATAGAGTTCCCTAACCCCTTCTCCTTCATTCAGAATGCAGTTTCAGGATCCTGAATTTTGGATCAGTGTGAGGTACCCATTTCTACTCTGGATAAAATGTCAGCTGCAGGCAGGAGAGCAGCGTTTCTGAGCCCTGGGACCCAAAGAGGCAGCGAGGGCCATTGCACTGTCAGCCTTGAGGGCAGTACATGCAGCAAGGGAACAAAAGAACAGACTTGGCAGTTGGGAGCAAAGGTTGAAAAGGGCAGGTTCTAACCCATGTGGAGTAGCAGCACTTTTACTTTCATGCTTTGAGGCAGTCCCTTAGCTGACCAGATCATTCACGGACCTTTTATAAACATGACAACTTCTGAGGCAAGTAAACTGCAAAAACCATGTCTGGAGCTCCTCTCAGTTACCCAGGGGGAATTACAGCACCTTGCTGTTATCCAGCTGGGATGAAATAACCTAGGAATGTAAGGAAGTCTGCCCTTGCCCCACCCTGTGAGACTTGGCAGGCAGGCAGGCAGGCCTCGTGGAGCGCTGGCAGAGCCGGTGACAAGAACAGACGTGTCCTGAAGAAGCTGCACCAGGATGTCTGTTTGAGCAGCCTGCACTGGGTGAAGCAAGATGTGTCATCTGGAGATTTCGGCTGCAGGAAGAGCTCTAATTGGATTCAATTTCTGATCTACTTTAGGCAAAGTGCTCTGTCACCCTATCCTTTTCCTCTGCCCAGCAGAGTGGACTAAAAAAGAGCTGTTGCAGCATTCTGGATAATTAAGAACAATTCCCCTCTTCCCAGGACCCCTCCCTGTGAATACCTGCATGCCAGGCACTTGTGCTGCACCTTCTGTTAGTTGTGTTTATGCCATCCCAGTTTATTTAAGTCAAGGGCCTGGCCTGGGGTAAAACTCCTAGAGTCTGAGCATTTTGAGACTGCAGGAAGAGGCCTTGTTGCTTACTCATGGGTACTCTGTGTTAGTGGGGTGTAAAAAAGGAAGATCCTCACACACAGTGATTATCTACCTCATCAGGAAAGCTGGTTTGGAGAGGGCTATGTTTGACCTCTCCCATGCCAGCCAAGCCACCTATCATAAGTAGCTGACTCTAGAGGAAAGCATCGAAAGAAGCAGTGTCTGTTTTCATCCTCCCCCTGGGTTCTAAGGCATTGGGCAGTTTCAGCATCCTGCTGAGTGGTGCTGGGGAGGGGGACGGTGCTGGAGCAGATCTGACCCCAGCCACGCACCCTTCCTAAACAGCATTGTCCGTATGCTTTCTTGGCTGGGCTTGCCTCCCTGACAGAAAGGAGGTTGCAGATGGCAATAAGGCTTTCAGCCAAGGTCCCCTGTGTAGATCCTGCAAGGAATTTGGCCCATTCCCAGAAAAAACAAATAGGGGAAAGGGCATCTTCTCAGCCAGTCCTTGTGTGTCTTGGAGCCACATCTGATTACTTTCCACAAGTTCAAGTTCTTGTTGGCCCTGCAGGTCAGCACAGCTAAGGGGTTGTGTTCTGTGCGTCATCATCCCAGTTGTTGCCTAGGTTAAAAGCGTTGCTGCAAGCTGTTGTGGGAGGCAAGAAGGCCCCAGCTGTTTTCTCAGGTCCAAGGCTACATTTGTGATGCTGGCAAGTAACTCACAAATTGTAAAGGGAGCAGATTTGGGGTGAAATCCTAACTTCACTGAAGTCAATAGCAAAGCTCCCACTGATTTCAGCATGGCCATGAGTCTGTCCCAGCCCCTCTGTATTTCTAGTCACTGAGAAAGTACGTAACCTCGTATGGTCATTTCAAAGAGTCTGTTCTGACCAGCACGTACGTGCGCTTGAATGGAAGAATGGAATGTTATAGAGCCATGGTGTCTAAATTAGGCCTTGCAAACTCATTGGGTTTATTCAGACTTTAGCAGCAACACTTGGCCAATGGAGTGAATATGGCTTTTTAATTGTTTGTTGCAATGGGGAATATTTCCCTACTGGTTTGCTCAGGGAAAAATAAAAAGAGCAAAGTTTGCAGTGAATCAGTGTGACTGCATCTGCCTTTAGGTTTAGTTGGCATTGCCTTGTTCCAAATATGTTATGAGACATAGGAACAACAGAAACCAAAAGTATAGTGACACCCTCTTCCTTCCCCACCCAACCACTCATTTACTGTTCACCCCGTATGATCCCAGAGCTTTAAAATGTCTCATTTTCAGGAAGCATTGCAAATAAAAAACTGCAGACCAAAAGCAAGCCCCCAAGCCCATAGACCGCTGAACAATTCCAGAATAAAATGGCAGTTAAAGAAAGGAAAGTCAAGCCACACAAGTATTAGCCTGTAGATGGAAAGTTCTCAGCAAAGGTATATATAAGACATCATTTAACAACTGTGTTATTGCTATGCATCCATTTCCAATCTAGTTGTGAAGCTTTACAAGTTAGCATTAAATGGTTGTATACAAAGCATGTAGATTTAATTTGTTACATTCCCTGATATATATATGTGTGTGTGTGTGTGTGTGTATGTACATTATATATAGAGATATACAGTATAGACAGAAATTATGTTTACCCTTTCTGACTTGCAGGGAGTCTGTGATAGCACTGAATAAACATACTCTACAAATCTCTTATATAATTACATTCTCATAGCTAGTTTATACCCAGACACAAGAGAGAGTCTGTAAACACGCTCACCCATCAACAGTAGCAAAAGAACTTATATTTCATTAGGTGCGTGTCATTTCATTGGCCTCTCTGTGTCTAACATTTGATTAAAAAGTAGGAACACTGACTCTCACCCCCTTTTTTGATCATTTTATATAAATACAAAGATTAAAAAAACAGATATTTTTAGTTTCAGCATCATCCCTGTTTCAGTCATACAGTGCTTTCTCTTTAAAACAACTAAATATACATTTGTAAGAGCCTTCCTCAGCCACAAAAACACAGCAAAGAATAAAAAGGCCAATAACAAAGTTTCAGGGCAGATCCTGCAAACTGTTGGGTAAGAATTCTTACCTAAGGGTCTGGCCCTAGCAATGAACTTCAAAGTACAGTATTAACTATACAGGGCAAGATCCTGCTGCCCTTACTCCAGGGCCAGATTGTGGCAACTTTGATTATGGTGAATGGTATCTTACACAGGGAGTCCAGCCACCACAATCTAGTTCTCAGTTTTTCACTTGGATGAAACCCTCTGTTAAGCCAGTGAGAGCTTTGCTAGAGGGAGGCTAAACAGAAGGCTTTGCTAGAGGAACAAGTGAATAAAAACCAAGGAAGGGCTTCAGGATTTGGCTCATAGGAATAGAAAGTGCTCCATTTAGCGCCTCTGTCTCTTTTTATGGCTCATCAAAAATACTGGCCCTGTTCCTCCTCTCTCGGACTAGTGTAAATCAAAAGGAACGCCATTGACATCAGTAGAACTTGACTTGGAGTAAGACAGACCAGGATCAGACCCAGGACTGCGTGCCTTGTTTGGTGTGTGTTGAAATATATAGCTTCCCCTCCTGCTTCTTCCCTGTAACTATGATTTGCAAGATTCCAGTGATACCTACTAGACAGAGACATGGTCACTTGGCTTCAGTGCATCAGTAGCCTGTGTGAAAGGATAAGAAAGGACGGGGAGAGTAAGTGGGGTACAGGGGAGAGTAGGTGTGGCTCGACAGAGCTGGAAATTAAATAAATCCCTTGAATGAGCCTGTAGCTCTTGGTAAAGTGGAAAAGATTCTACAGCTCCAATGAAGTTGCTTCACTTGCATATCAGGCACTAAGAAATAGGTGATTGCTAGGAAATCATTTACAAAGAAGCGCTATAATACTAATTCTGTTTTTAATATTAAACCCTGCTGTGATCTCTGTATCTTAATAAAATGTCAGGGTTGTGCAGGAATGGGGGAAAAAAGCTGTGTAGGCCATAACTATCATAAAACCCACCTAAGAAGTGCACAGTGACTTTATTAGCATCTGTCATATTAAAATTAATAAAAAGGAGAGAAATGTTCTCAGCGGAACCTCTGCGAACCTGAGAGACATTACCATTTACAAAGGCGAGGTTCCTTACCTGCATGTTACAAATCTTAATCAAGTTGAAGGGATACTGCATTTCCACAGGTATGACATACACAATGCAATGCAAATTGCTTATTGCTTTTACTGTTTGACTTAATCAAATTGTGTCCATCCAAGCAGGGTAGCAAACAATCTGTGCTCATGGGAGGGGAGGAATCCCGTTACACGACTTTGCCACCAGAGGGCCCTTTCTTTTTAATCATTGTGCAATAGAAGACAGCATCTCCTAGCTTTATTGCAAAACTGGACCCATCACATGAGACTCTGACATTTTTCTGTTGTTAGTACTGTGGATTTGTAGTAGTGATGTGCCTGACTTTTCCGCAGACCTTGCTGCCTGGGCATCTGGGGCAGTGTTAGCCACTCAGAGATAAGAAGCTTTACAGACAAGAGATCCAGTAATTATTAGGGAAGCTTGTCCAGCCCAGTGAACATTTTTGTAGCCACAGTCACACCAACAAGCACTGATGGAACATAATTGCTAAGGGTGGTTCTTTAAATGATGTACAGTAGTGTAGCTCCCTGCTGGACTTCAGTGAGCCTGTGTCAATTTAATACCAGTTGGGGACGTGACTCTGAATGTCTAACTGGAACTGCTCATGGGAATATCACTTTCTGTAAATCTCGATGAATTATATCAGTGCTGGTTATGGAATAATCAATCTGGAGAGGGCCTCTGAATAATGCAAGGATTGCTTGCCTCCTACACAGGAGTGTGAGCGTTGACACAAACAGTAAAACATGCAGCTACGGATCTCGTTTCACTCACTGCTTGGCTGCTGAAATATATTGGCTGAGATAATAGTCCCAGATTACCTCTTTCTTTTCTCATGCCCCATGTTAAGACTCAGTTCATCCCTTTGCCAAGCATCAGCTCACAGTGCAGGTTGTCACTAATGCAAGAGGGCACCAACAGCTCTGGATACTGGAGTGCAGTAGAGTAGTAGTGAGAAAATATGGGGGAAGAAGACCTTGAGGAGGAGGCAAGATTCAGGGAAGCCTGTTCACTCCAGAAACTTCAGCTTTTGAGAGAGAGACAAGGCTCTGTTAGCTGTGCTGGTAGAAAAAAACTGCTCTGCTCCCCTGGTGCTGATTCCAGTTAGCTGTTGCAGCACAAAGACAGCTTTTGAATAGCAACAGAGTAGAACCGAAAAGGGTCGTCTACTGCTTCAGCGTAAGACATCAATAAAGAGGAGTCTAATGAGCTCTATCCCCAAAATAGAAGGCAGCTAGCAATCCAGTAAATGGCCCTGAAAACATCTTGATATCCGTATCACTCATGCCCTTCAGCAGCTAATGGAAGAGCACTCAGAAGCACAGCTCTGAATCTATTCCTACATCCTTCTGTTTTTTGCTTTGGAAATGATCAGGCAATCACAGCCAGGTTTTTAAAGATATTCAGTGCCTAAAAATGAAGCTAGACATCAATGGGCTACTCAAAAGCACCTGTGGAGGTTATGTGCCCAATGATAGCACTGGGAGTTAGGTGCTTCACCTGCCTCAGTGCTTTTAAAAATATCCTGTTTGGTTTTCAGCTTCGTCCTTAGGTACTTTTAAAAACCTGACCCTTTGGGCTTAAATTAGAAACAAAGTCTTGTGCTAAACAGAGGTCTACACAGCTCATACTGTGGGGTTGCACTTCAAATTCAAGACTGTGTTTAAAGAACTCAGGTCAGTCCTGCCTTGGGTATAGGTTCCTCATGCTCTTAAAGGGCCTCCCAAGGTGGGGCAAAAGAAGAAGGATAGTAAGATCCTTACACACGGCTTGAAAAGAACAGATTCACTTCTCAATCAAAAAAAATATAGCTCAACTATAGATCATATATATACTCTGAGTTTTATTTTTATCATTCCAAAAACTGTGCTAGTAATTGCTACTGGAATCTCAGAAAATTATTTTAATATGGCATATAAGTACAGAACTACAAAAAGAGGTGCATATCATATGTGAGTGCTGCATTGATGATCTCAGGTTAGTGGTAAATACCTGGGTGTCTTAGAAAGCAACTGTAATTTCCAAATAAAACCATTTTGTGTGTAATGAGGGGAAATTACACAGCAGCTGGGAACACCAATGGTGGTTGAACTCATCCACCATTTATGACTGTGTAGAGAAGTGATGTAGTCCGGTAAACAACCATTGCACACATATGGTTTTATTTTGAAATTGCTGTTCCTTTCTGAAACACCCTTGTATGACTGGTGTCCCCAAATACACAAACAGCAAATGTTTGGCTTGTTAAGTGTGATATCATTCTTGGCTTTTGATTATCAGTGCAGAGGGGGGGAACCACAAGATTCATCTATCCACTGCATTTTCGGTAGCTGTCATGGAAAGGGGTATAAGGAAAAGGCCAGGTGGATAGAATGGGTAGTTAAAACTATGTGGGTCAGCATTTTGCTTGCAGAGTAGCTGAGGGTCTCATCCTGCATGAAATAAAGTAGCTTCTGCCTCAGCTCCCATTCAAGTCATACAATGAGAACTTAACCTTCTGTCTGCCTTTGATAGCACTTCCCTCCCTTACTGCAGTGCTATACTGAACTGGAGTGAGTTGGGGGACATACGAATACCTAGTTCCAGAGATGAGACCAAGCCCCAAAGGAGACAGATTTTTGTTTTGCTTAGAACCTCCTATCGATTTCAAAGCAGAAATGAGCAGCTGACTTTGCCACAAGAATGTTTTTCTATTTATTTGCAATGCATGAGATCTCTTCTTTGGGCATCTCATTACTAATTTAGTTACTTAGTCTTCTGAATAAGGCTCCAGTGGGAAAGTAACACATGATTGGTAACTTAATTTAAAAACAAGAGCTTGGTGTCTAAGCAGCAGTTGTAATAGACAGTTGTGGGAAAAAATCAGTCAGGGATGTGGAGTGGCAAGGACACATCCAGACAACTTGCTGTAACAACAGGCAAAACAATGTCCAGGCTAGCACACGTGATTAGTGATTTTGGATGTCTGAAAATCAGCTTCTGAAAATCAGGCCCTTTTCTGATAGTGCAGGCTGGATACCCCAAAAAGGGAAGCACCCCAAATCAGAGGCTACTTTTGAAAATCTTGTCCAACAGGTTTATCCTGAGGGAGGAATTTGGGTGAAAAATATAAAGCAAAACATTGTTGTGTGACCATGTCAGACATGATTGGCAAGGCCTGCAGATGGGGTAGAAATCCCTCTTAGACCAGCTTGACCGATTGTCTTTCAACTCCCTAAATTCCTCCAGAACCTGGAGGACATTAGACATTCTGGCTCAAGTCCATCCTTGTCCAAACTTCACCACATCATGAAGTCGAGACTAGGGGTGACTTTGGCTCATCCTGCCCATTGCTGTGTTCACCATCGGTGAACTCATATATGTGCAATTCTGCCATTCCCTGCTTCCCCCCACCCCCCTCTACCTAGTGCCAGTGAAAATAAAAACTATCTCCTCTAAAGAGAACAATGATGACAATAACAGAAAGAGGTTTTAGTCTCAGACATGTTCATTTTTAAGAAAGGGAAGCTCTGGACAGCGCTTGACCACCATTCCTTCCCCTATTCCCATGCCCAAAAACTCTCTCCACATTCCACATCTGGATTCATTCTCTCTTGGAGTTGACTCCATACCAACATTCAAAACACGCTCAGCATTGCTGGCTGCTGCACTCCCATGCCCCACCATCCCTCTGAGAAGAAATCTCCGTTTTAGACAAGTGAGATCATTTCTTTCTCCCTTAGCAGAAGGAAAGGGAGCTGTGGTTAGGGGAGCCAGAATGAGCAGTTCCCCCAGCCCAACATTGTATTTCGTGAAGACAAGGGGGCAGGAAATCTGCGTAGGCTCTCCTCTCTTTTTTTGGTATAGCCAGACTCCGATGCTGCATGGGATGGTTGCATTGTTCCTTTTCCTTTGTTTTTATTCCGAGTCTTTGGGAGTGCTGGGGCTGGATCCATGACACCTGCCTTGCTTGCCCCTAGAGGGCTTGGTCTTAGCTGAAGACCTGGGGCTTGTGGCTTCCACCTGCTCCTGGGAAAGCTGCTGAAATGGCCTCTGCAGGCCACTGCTTGTAGCAGCACTGTCATTTGGATCAGCCCCTGCTTTTTTAAGGCCCTCAGTTTTGGGCTCAGATTTCTGACGGTGGGGTGCATGGTGCCTCCTGGTGTATAAAAAAAGTGCTGGGTCAGGCATGGGATCTGTGTCTTCGAAGCTGCTCATCCTCTCCCTCTGGAAAGAGTCCTTCATAACCCCTTTGCTAAAGGAGCAGTCAGTCACCAGCCTCCGAACATGAGCCTTGTGACTGCGCTTTTTAGGTTTCACCTCACCGGAAGGTTGCGTAGGCAAGGGTTTGTCCAGTGGCCTGTCGGAGGGGGGCTTCCCGCTCTGCTGGGAGCTGTGCAGCGTCTGCTTGGTGGAATGGAGCTGGAAGGAGAGGTAAGCAGCAGCCTCTGTCTGCTTCTGCAGCTCTGTGTTTAGTATGGTCACCCGATGGCTCCTCCTCTTCAGCTCCTCGAGGAATTTCCTCTCCTTGTTCCTGAGGTTGGATCTCAGTGCAGCCACCAAGGCCTCCTTGTGTCGGAGCTCCTTCCTCAGGTCCAGATTGTCCTTCTCCTTCTCATGCAGCTGAGCCTCCATGATCTTGCACTTGTCCTCCAGCTCCCGATCGATGACTTCTGAGGAGGACATGACAAAAAGCAGTGTTAAAAACGCCATTTGGCAGCAGTGAAATACATGAGAAGGAGGGACTAGGGGCAGTAGCTAAATGGCTCAGGAGACTGGTCAAGGAATGCTTGGAAACTTTCCACTCTAGGTGAATGGTCTGAAGGTATCCTGGGTTAATACTGAGTATTGTTACCACCTGATAGCCAGTGAGGGACATAAGTGATATATAAGGGGTGGTCCACTTCCTAGTGGGCAAAAGTGAGCCCCACCACAGGGTTGGCAGCCTCAACAAAGAGGCAGTGATTGAATGGGTTTAGACTATCAACTAGCAGTGCTTCCTCCTGTTCAGGGATGAAGGACATTAGTAACTTTAGCATGATAGTGCAGGGAAGTATACAGTGACTGCTGTAGAGGTATCGGCCTGGGAATAAATACGAGACCTCAGTCTCGCTCGTGTGAGATTTCAGCTAATGGTGGTGACAGTCATACCAAGACAACCAGTTAAATGAGAGCTCACTGCTTTCTGAGACAGAGAAAATCTTGTGAAAGGATGGATGTCATGTTGGGCTGAGCTCCCAAGAGTCCATAAAATCTTGGTGCTATCAAAGCCAAGCTCTAACCTCTATTGATTTATGGTATTTACACATCACCTGCTACTGTAGTGTCTGAGCACCTTGCCATCATTCATGTTAGGTCCCCATCACTCAGGACGCGCTGTTCTCTTTATTCTTCAAATGGGGGAATTGAAGCATAGAGGCATTAAGAGAGCTGCTCATAGTTGCACTGGATCTCTGAAGCAAAGCTAGGATTTGAACTGAGGTCTTCTGGCTCTTAGATAAATGCCTTAAACCCTGGACCAAGCTTTACCCTGTTCACCCACCTGCCAATCACTGAAATGCACCATGTGATTAATACCCAGAAGGAGGGACAAGACAAAATGATTCATGCAGAAAACAGAAAATTGTGAGATCCATTCCACATCTGTAAATGACGCCTTCTGTAATTACCGTTCCATGACTTTTAATTTCATAGGTAAATCATTTTTCCAACTTAAAAATGATCAGATTCCAACTTTCTGTGGAGTATAATGAGCACTTGGAGCCAAAGTGATAATGAATTCCATGACAAAAAGCTATGTCTGTGATCCCTAACTTAAATGTAGCTGTGACCCCAACTCAGCATACTTTCTCCAGTCTATTGTTCTCATGTAAATTTAAAATAAACACAGATCAGCCAGAGTCCTCAGTCTGTGATTGAATCTTATGAGCTGAGCCTGTTTGATGTGCTGAATCACAAGATACTGTGTGAGCAGGAGATGCTGTTCCTTTGGCTTTAAAAGTTAATCCTACTCCCTTAAATTCCCTGTCTTGTCCTTGGACCTGAGCTCCATCATGAAGATTTTTGCATTGGGAGAAAAAGAGAAAACTAATCATGTGAAACAATCTGCCAAATTTATTAGAAGGTGTCATTGACCTCTTTCCAGGATACTACACAACCTGATTAGACAGAATAGAGTATGTTAATCCAGGATTAACTAGGAGTTAGAACTGTGGTTGACTGAGAATCTAAGGAGGAAAGGAAATATAAAAAGAGCCAGACTCTGCAGAAATGATCTGGAGATTTTGCTTTGCTGCTGTGACAGCTGTCAGGGCATGCAGCCATTAGCCACAGTCAGGAAAACACTTCCCAATGGAAGGTATTCCCAGGTTATTCTGTAGTTGTCCACTGCAGGGATTCTTGTCCCTTGCCTTTATAGTAACTGATGCCGCGCAATGTCAGAGATGGGCTCTCGACCTGGGCAATTCCTGTTGTGCTATTACCTGTTTGAGGATGCAGGCTTTTCCTTCTGTGCACTCATGCCTATATTCATGACTACCCAGTATCTTCCTACTTCTGGGGTGAGATTTTCAAAAACAGCTTAAGTGAATTAGATGCCTAATTCCAAACAGGAGTTGGGTGCCTAACTCCATTAGTTACTTTTGGAAATCCCAGCCTTGGTGAATGCAGTTGCTTTTCATCCTTCCGTGGACCTTGGCAGAACAATATTTTTAACATCTCCCTTGCAGTGTATTAGGCTGATTTTCCAGTCTGTGATACCAGCCTTATACCAGGGATTCCACTGAAGCCAGCGGAGTTACGTGGCTGCAAATGGAGCTGCCAACCGAGTTATGTGCGATGCAGTGAAGAATTAGACTTGACTCCTCTCTGCCATTCTGCCTTAGACTCCAGAGAAGGCAGTCAGTCTGTTGTTGATAAAGATTCATAAAAAGGACAGGATATTAAAGAAGAGAGTTGGTGGGGGTGGAGGGCGAAGAGAGCTTTGTCATAAGACCCTAACAACCAACACGCAGCAGTTGTTAATAAAAAATATTAACGGTGTCTGCCAGTTGTCAGGCCAGAGACATGTTTACAATCTCTAGCAGAGGTAACGATATAATGTTCCTTTGTCTCAACTTGCCCTCTGTTGCAGTAATGATGGAGGGGAAGAAAAAGTTCACAGGCAAAGGGAAGCAATAGAGCATAACGTCAGTTTGGGAGCCAATTTCTGCTCATGTAGGTTGCGTGGGGACAACGGAAGGCAGAAATTAACCCATCCTTTGTGCTCTCAGAGTCTATTCTCTGATATTTTAAGCTTACTTTGGTACCCTCTTCTCCCCCCCACCCCCCCACACTTCTGAGCCATGAACATGCGTGTGTGGTGGGTGAATGAGGAATGGCGATGATGGGCGATGTCACTGGTAATGTGGCAGCATCACTAAGACTCTCTTGTCTTGCCAGGTCTAGTGATGCCATCAGGGCCCCTGTATCCTTTTTCAACAAGTAAATAAGATAGGTGACAATATCTTCTGGGCCTGATCCATGTGATGATCAGTGATGGGAGAAGGAAGTTGCATCTGCATGGCTGGCACTAGTTCTTTTTCAGTGGCACTTTCCACTGTAACAAGACCCAGGGAGAAGCTGTGTAGAATTTGGGTCTCTCCTTTCTCACCTCCACCCCATCCTGCAATGCCTCCAGTTACTGTAGAGTGCAGAGGCCTCAGGGCAGATGTCCTTTGAGGTTCACATCCAAAATTTGATTCCTAAACCCCTTTCGCTTCCACTACAATTGGCTGCAGTCCGATGACTTTGCCACACTTAAATCAGTTCCTTTATTGAGTCAAACCACATGGATTTACCAGTAGGGTGTGGCTCATTCTCTAGAGTATTCAAAGCGGGGAGAAAAAAAGCAGGCTCACCCTTCCGATCCTCCCTTCTGTGGAGGCAGTAACCATCAAAAAACAAAGCAGCAGGGGGAGGGAAGAAGAGAGAAACCCCTGCATAAACCCCTTTGTGGCTTACTACATATGAGACTACAACAGGAAGCAATTCCTACCCTGGGCCTCCCTTGGCTGAAAAAGAGCAAGGATGAAGGTCTGCAAAGGGCTTGCACCTTTCCCCTGGGCTGTGTCCTCCAGTGGGTAAAACACTTGGTGAGGTGTTTGGAGACTCGGGTTGTATACCTGGCTGTTCTGCTGACCTGTTGTATGACCCTAGCAGCCTAACCCCAAGGCACCTTATGCTTCTGTTTCCTTTTGTGCCCTTTATCTGAATTGTCTCTTCAGGTTGTAACAGTTCTAGGGTAGGGGCTTCCTCTCCAACCAGGGGTTGCTCAACCCCTAGTACATCCCCTAGCCATCCACTATGTGCTACCATGATACAAATAATACTCAAGGTCCAGGCCCTGTGGGAAGATATTATCTAGCTGTTTGGCATCATGGGGATGCAGCCACCCTGATCCCAGCATAGGAGGCAGCCTGCCCAAAGCAGTGTAGCCTGTTTGAGGACACTGCTGTGCAGCGTGGTATCTTCACTGCCTGGACGGGTCCTAATTGAGGAATATGGGAATGGAGGCAAATAAAGAGGAAGGAAGTGGAAGGGGTGAGAGGGACTGTAGAAGGAGGAAGAATGGCAAGAGGTAACTAAGAAATGGAGACCCCATTCATGTCCCTTTCTTGCTTCCTCCAAAATTATACAATAGAAAAGGCAGAGTGAGGACAACTAAGGGGATGGAAGGAGTTCCAGCATGCAAAGGGGGTGCTGGGCTGGGGTGGAAGGGGACAAGGGAAACGAGACAAGGTTTTGGTGGCTCTGGACCCTGTCAAGTAGTGACATTAAAAGCCAGGCTTGTTCAAGCGTTGTGGACATTCTAGTACTCAAATCCTGGGCCTGTTGCTGGCCAGGTGATGAGCAAGTCACTTCACCTGGCCTTGTCACAGCTCTTGCATTCCTAAAGTGGATGACCCTAGCAGCCTAACCCCACTCACGTGCCTCTAATCCAGCTCTGGGTCCCTTTGACCCTTGGCTCACCTTGTCTTGCCTGTCCGCTATTCATTTTGTTGGCTTTACTCAGTTAAATCGCTTTTGCTGCCACATGCCTTTCTCCCTCCCCCCTGTCTGCTCCTGTGCTATAATCCAGGCTGGGATCTCCTAGGGAGGGAAGCAGACTCAGTCCTGCTGCCTGCTTTGCCCAGCCCCCTCACTGCAGGTCATCTTTAAAGATGAGGAGGAAAAACCTTTCGGGTGGAGCTCTAGGACTCCATGCCTACCACAAAGCTCAGGAGAGCTTTATGTTCAGATTTATTCCTATAGAGCAGAGTTGTCCTACTTCTGGACAGTGGGGGCCACATGATGCATGGGCTGCAGACCCTAGGATTTCTCCCACCATGTAAGCAGCCTGGCTCTTCTCCCCACTGCTTCCTTCTTGCTCGCTACCTGCTCAGTTTGAGCTGCCCAGGTCCCCCAGCCACTTGCACAGCCTGGGTCTTTTAGCTCCATGTGCAGGGCAGACAATATAACCTTTCTGTTACCCACACACGCAGCATTAGCAACCTGGCCCCGCTCCTGCTATGCATGCAGTGACCCGGCCCCGAGAAATGGAGGCAGGGACCAGAAGCCAGAGGAGGGAGGCAGGAGCCTGGAGACCCCAGCCACTTCAGCACCAGGAGCCCTGGGCAGGAGCTTGGGGGTTTTG